ATGATTTCGTGTTTCGTCGTTTGATTCGTAATTTTTTTATATTTTGGGTAGGTCGCTTTCATGATCACTTTTGAAATTTYTCCCTAAATTTCTAGTGATAGATACCTGATATTGCCAAAGTAACGAGAGTTGTTCTTTCAAGTGGRGGAGCCCACTTGCTCCAAATAGCATGGTTACATGGAAACACTGCACCCTAAGCAATCCAACCAAAAAAAACAACATTTCACAGAAAGTCGTTATAGCTTATGACGTCGCAATACCTACCAGTACCAATCCCTCCGCAATCCGAGCAGCAATCAGACCRTAAACACTTGCYCTTGTTGCTATAGGAGTCAGTAAGGTAAACATTGATGCTAAAAATATAGCATAGCCAAAGATTCTTGTGCCTCCACATTTTAAGGCAAGCCACGCCCCTGGGATCTGGAGGATTGCGTAGCCGTAGTAGAAGGAACCAAGCACGACGCCTTTATTGATTGAAACAATATTGTTATTTTCACTAGTGAAATTATCAACATTTCGAAAGAGAGAAATATAGGTTTTTCATGGATAATTATATGACACAACAAAATGTAAAAATTATAAAATAAAAATAAAAAAGAAATAAAATAAAATCTTTTTGACTCATATTTCAAGTCTATATAAAATATATCAGAAACTATGGGATATCATCGCCAATATTTTTTTCAGAAAGTGCTAGTGCTAGGAAACTTCAAAAAAATATCAGCGATGACATTCCATAATTTTTGATGTATTTTATATATACTTGGAATATGAATAAAAAATATCGTAATTTCTGCATATTGCTGTAAATCTAGTTATGTCTTTTCTGACCAGGGACGTAGGTCAAATTTCGCATCGAATTTAGATTTTTAGAGAAAAACGATCGAGACAAGTTTCTCTAGAATCATGTCGGTAAACGTTGCTTTTAATAGGACCGTATTTTTAAGAGGTAAAAATCATTATGTCGGGCTAAGGGGGCTGGTTCACTTTGCAGAGTCTATCATATGCTCTTTGGACTTGCTATATGTGAAAGTTGCTAACCCTTATTATATTATTATATCAGTATATTATATTAATTAATACAATTGGTTACCTTGTAATTTAGAACTCCACGTGAACTCAGCTTCCTAGATATTAAAATTCCAGAGAAATCTTTTAGCCTTAACCGCATTGTTATTCCACCTATCTGTCTTACGTTGCACCCTTTCTCGTATGATAACATCGATTTACTTCACCCTAAAGCTTAAATGTTTATATTGGATATTAAAGGGACATTGTCCACCAGCATTCATTGCGGTCGTGGTTTTGATTTTTGATATATATGAAAAAAGGAGTTGACTTCAAAWWWYCMWTYSSMAWYYYTTTYCMWYCMWYRGKTTWAA